AGTTAATCTTGGAAAGACTAGACAGGTATTTTGCTAATAAGGATTGGATCCTAGAATTCCCTTATAATACAATTATCCACCTTCCTAGAACTCACTCTGATCACTGCCTTGTGCTTATTAATCTTTGGTCCATGCCCATCAGTCTCTCTAAACCATTTAGATTTGAGCCCATGTGGTGCAACTACCCCTCCCTCACCAATATGGTGCAGCAGACCTATGAGGGTAACTATAACCTGCTTGAGGGAACTACCAAATTTCAAGACCAAGTTACTACTTGGAACAAGACAGTATTTGATAATACCTTCCATAAATAGAAACATTTACTAGCTAGGGTAGGAGGTATCCAAAAATCCAGTGCCTACCCCTTCAAACCCTACCTCGAGAATCTAGAGAGTCAACTCCAAGAAGGCTATTCAGCCATTCTGAGAAGTGAAGAGGAATTATGGAAAACTAAATCTAGGATAAATTAGCTTATGGAGGGAGATGCCAATACAAAATTCTTCAACACCTTCACTCTTATCAGGAGAAGAAGAAATAGGATTTTGGCCCTCCAAAGTGAGGCAGGGGATTGGATAGATCATAAGGGTATTGAAAATGCCATATTCCAGTTCTACTCATTCCTATTCACCACTGACTATCAATCCTCCACCAAGGGTGGAGATACCACCCCTTATGACTCTCATACCCTTTCACATAGGGATCAGAACATTCTTAGTGCTCCCCTGAGAAATAGTGAGATAAAGATTTCTTTATTCTCATTCAAACTTTCCAAAGCCCCTAGGCCTGATGGCCTACACCCAAGGTTCTACAAAAAGTACTGGAATATTCTTGAGGGTAAGGTAACCAGCTTTTGTAAGCAGGTCTTCCACACCCTTGAAATGAGCCCTGAGGTTAACACCACTCATCTGTGCCTAATCCCTAAATTTGCAAATACAACTGTGTTGAAGAACTTCAGACCTATTGGCTTATGTAATACAATGTACAAACTTATCACTAAAATCATTGTTAATAGAATTAAGCCTATACTGCCCTCTATCATAGGCCCTAGCCAAGCCGCCTTCCTGTCTAATAGGAAGGCCTGTGATAATGCCATTATTGTGCAAGAATACATTAGTCACTTTAAGAAAATGAAAGGCAGAAATGCCAACATGATCCTAAAAATTAACCGGGAGAAGGCCTTTGATAGGTTAGAATGGTCCTTTATCAGAGACACACTGTTTTCCTTTGGTTTCCCTAGCAGGACCACCAAGCTGATTATGTCCTATATTTTCACCAGTTATATCTCTATGTTTGTCAATGGGAGTAGGACTAAGTATTTTAAGCCTAGTAGGGGCATTAGACAGGGAGACCATATGTCTCCCTACATCTTCATAATGTGTATGGAGAGACTATCAAGAAATATTGATGCAAAAGTGCAGAATGGAAAATGTTTCCCTATAAAAATCAGTCAAACAGGGCCAAAATTCTCCCATCTCTTCTTAGCAGATGACCTTACTCTCTTTGCTAGAGCAAACACCAATAACTGTAATACCATTATTGAAACTCTTCAGGAGTTTAGTTGTACGTATGGCCAAAAGTAAATAGCATCAAGTATAAGTTATCTTCTTCACAAATTACTACCAAGAGAAAGTAGATAGACTAGCCAGGATATTGATCATTAAACCTAGTCTCTCTTTTGGTAAGTATGTGGGCTTTCCCATCTTCCACAAAAGATCCACCAATATAGACTATTAGTTATTTTATCATTGATAGCATGCAGACTAAGCTTGTAGGCTGAAAAACCCATTTTCTGAATATGGCTGGGAGAACTATACTAGATAAATCTTCTCTTGGATACATCCCTGGCCATGTCATGTAATACATTAAGCTCCCAGCTCAGGTGTGCAACCAAATTGACAGAATTCAGAGAAATTTCATCTGGGGTACCACTGCAGCTAAAAGAAAAATGCACCTAGTTGGGTGGAAAACTGTGACAAAGCCTAAGGAAGAGGGTGATTTGGGAGCGCAGACAACTGAAAACAGAAACATTGCCACCCACACTGGCATGGCCTGGAGGATGTACAACAATACAAATGCTATGTGGGCCAGGGTGCTTTTCCACAAGCATTTATACTAGCAGAAACCCTTCTAGGCACATTGCCTCTAGGACTTGGCAAAATGTCAAAAATGGCTGGTATATCTGTAGTAAGGCTACTAGGTGGGTAGTACATAAGGGGAATAAAATTAACCTTTATGGTGACAGATGTATCCTTGGTATGGAGTCCCTTAGGAGCATTATCAGTGGTCCACTCAACAGGGGGGAGGAGAGTTTGAATATAGACACATGCTACAATGAGAGTCACTTAAACATTAGTAATATCTCCTTTGACCTCCCTGAAGTGGTAGTTTTTACTATCAATTTTATTTTTGTTAATCCCAACTCTGGAAATCTGGATAGGATGGTTTGGAACCAAACTGATAGTGGCTTCTTCTCAACCAAAACTGTCTATACCCTCATAAGAAGTCTGAACCATCATCAGGACCACAACTTTGGGAAAGACTTAAACTGGGTATGGGACCAAAAATTGCCCAACAAGATACAATACTTTCTTTGGTTAGTAACCCATGCTAGGCTCCCTACAACTAAATACCTCCACTCAGGGGGTATGAATCTAAACCACATGTGCTTCTTCTGTAACAAGGAGGAAGAAACCATTGAACACATGCTCTTCAAATGTGACAATGCTAACCAATGCTGGCAGAAGTTAGCTGAGCAAAGCCATTCCAACCTCAGCATCCCAAACCTTGTAATTAGCCAAGCAAACTGGTGCACACTCTTAACAAGGTTAAGCACCAACCCTTCAATGACATTCTCAAATGGGGACACTTAATCCCTTTCTGCCTTTGGCAAATTTGGATAACCAGGAACATCAACAACTTCAACCATAGGAAGGATCTTGTTTCCTTTTGAGTGGCCATTAACAAGGCTGCAGGATTCATGCACATAGCAATAGGAAGAAAAGAGTCCAGACACGATACTATTATCTCTATTAAATGGAAGCCCCCAGGACGGGGTTGTTACAAGCTAAACAGTGATGGTGCTTACAATCAAAAAGAAAAAAGATGGGGAATAACCGGGGTAATTAGAAATAACAATGGGGATTGGGTAACATGGTACATGGGAAAAATCAAGTGCACAAATACTCTCCATTATGAGCTAACAGCTTTTTCGCAGGGCCTAAAAGTGGCAATATCAAACAATCTAGCGCCCTTAGATGCCACTGTGGACTCGACAGAGGTAATACAATGCATAAACAATGGTCATCTGATATATGATTTTCTGATTTGTGAATGCAGATCTCTCCTAGCAACGCTGGGTCATCCACCAGTAAACCACACATTCAGAGAGGCAAATAGAGTGGCAGACAAGTTGGTAACAGAGACAAGGAAGCAGTTGAGAATATGAATTAACTTTTTGGTAGTTCCTCCGGTGTTTGTCAATGAAGTACTATGGGCAGACACCCTAGGAACTATTTTTGAAAGAAACGTTAAAAATTGTAATATTGTACATGTAGCATTGGACTACTCACTGTTTGGTACGATGGGCTTAACTACTCAACAGCCCAATCTAAGAACAATCTTAACTTAGTATTATAATTTAGTATCATCTTGACCAAAAAAAAAGACACAAATCTAATCTAGGACCTTTGTATAACTAAAGGATCCACATTAGTAGTCTTCCAACCGGCAGTGAAGAGTGCCAACATATATATCGTGTCCCTTATATCTGAAAATGTGAAGAGATTTTGGTTACGAACAAATTTATAAACTTGCTTGTAAGGCTGTTTATCTCAATTCTCAAGGTAATGAAATATATTCAATGAAAACAAATTTCCTCTTCCACACTCAACTACTCCCTCTTATCCCAATTCATCACCGTATTTATGTATAGTACATTAGATACATGCAGCAACAACAACAACAACAACAACCCAGTATAATCCTACTAGTGGAGTCTGGGGAGGATAGTGTGTACGCAGACCTTACCCCTACCCTGGGGAGGATAGTGTGTACGCAGACCTTACCCCTACCCTGGGGTAGAGAGGTTGTTTCCGATAGACCCTCGGCTCCCTCCCTCCAAGAACTCCCCACCTTGCTCTTGGCGTGACTCGAACTCACAACCTCTTGGTTAGAAGTGGAGGGTGCTCACCACTAGAGCAACCCACTCTTGTCAATATTATTATTAGATACATGCATATAATATATTTAATATATATTATAGATATACTAATAATATATATTTGGTATAATGTACGAATATAAATAATAAATGTGATATATTAATGTTAATATAAATGATATATATTATGTATACTATGTATGTAAATAGATTATGTAAAACATATATTGATGACATATATTAACTATACTATGCATACATAATATAAAGAACATTATTCCAAATGTAAAAGGGTATATAAATATTGTGTTTGAGTGCGTGTATATATATATATAAAGAAATAAAATCAAAAAAAAAAATTAATTGAAAAGTAAAGTTTGGTCAAAGCCCATATGCCATCGTTACCACATTTTTGTATAAAATGAATGAAATTTACGCTTCTAGGGGGAAAAAAAACGTGCAGGATATTATAGCTTGGAAAGGCCAAAGGAGAAGGAGATTGTTTAGGACATAATGGATTGTATTTTATATTATTATTTTTTTATATTACCCTAAATAAGGATAGTCTCTTATTTTTGGGTGTTTGGTTTAGTTGGAGACTGCACTATTATGGAATATTTAGAATCAGTTTCCTAGTTTGTAGGAAATCTAAGGTATTTGAGCTATGTTTTGTGGTAGAATATGTTATTTAGTTAAAAGTTGTAAATTATGAAATATTTTTTTAATCCATGAGTAAGTATGAAAATTCCCCTTTCCATTTTTCTTTCTTAGGGCCTATTTGAACAAAACGTCAAAACCTCAATAAAAGAATATGATAAGGTAGTAGTATAAAATACTGGAATAAGATAAATGAGGGAAGTTTACTCCTTATCTTGTCCTCCTTTGTGTTGTGTTGGGCACAAATAGGAAACCAGATTAAGCTTAAAACTAGTAGACTCACAAACACAAAGACATCATAATCAAGGAACGACAGAGCAGGAATTTATGCAAGAGAATTCAAAAGTAGCAATGTTTGAACATCCTTTGCTACTTCATTAGAATTTTCTCTGATATATAACTAAACGAATTGAATTCCCCTTTCTTCAACCTAGCTCAGCCACTGGGTACACCGTACAGATGATCCCATCTTAGTTTAAAAACCAAATATTTTAACCTCAACGTTTATGCTTACTCCAGATTGGTATGGCGTGCTCGCACAGCTTCAGGACTCTGCTTCAAAACTTCACCCAACTTATAAACCACCATCTCAAACAGCACAAACATGGCTCCTTCGTATAAACTCCCCATCGGAAGCAGCGACTTTTCCTGCTCCACATTATCATCAGCCATTGTCTGAGCCGGAATATGAGCAACCACACTCGCGTACTTCACAGAAGATCCGGATTCGGTCTGAGCTGTCAGCAACAGCACACGAGCACCGTTGGATTTCGCCACACCACAGATTGCATCCACGGTGGAGAAACCTCCTGGGCCGGCGGAGGCAATTAGGAGGTCCGGCGGCCCAATTGGAGGAGTGTTCATGTCGAAGACGCAGTGGGCTGATAAACCCAGATGGAAAAGCCTCATTGATAGGGCCTTCAGCATTAACCCTTCACGGCCCACGCCGTACACGAACACCTTGCCGTTGCGGGTCGCAGCGGCTGCGATTTCTTGTACCACAACTTCCAAGGCAGGGGTTCTTGTGCTGGTGTTGGAGAAGACAGAGCTTATCTGATTGCATATTTTGGAAGCTAGTAGAGTTGACTCTCTTGGGTTTGATTCTGCCATTTGACACCAAACTCGCTCGGCAATTTCTACTATCTAGTCACTTATTCAACAGAGGAAAAATCCAACTCTAACGCATTGTCCATTTGGCTCCCAAGTTGTGGCTACGCCTATTTATATCCATAGCAAAGATTTTTTTACTACTACATGGATAGATATAACACACTACTAAGTTGAGACCATATAAAGTGTCGGCTAAAACGGCCCAAGATACATTTAACAAAGATGTAATATTGTTTGAAAAGCTACTAGTAAAGGGCGCAAATTGGCGTCCCCAAAACCATTGGTTGTGATATCGGGCTAAAATTATTCAAAGATACTTGTAGCATGGTGTAATATTATCTGTTTTAGACCAAACAGTTTTTTCAGAATGTCTCACACTATTAAGAGTATTCAACATTATAAATAGATATTACTATTTTATTTTATTTTACTTTCCATGTGAGACTTTATTCTTATTCGAATCGTTTTATTTAGGTGTTCGGAGTATTAAAGGTAGAGTTGAAATATTACTATAGTAGCTAATATTATTGCAAAATTCTTTAATATGCGAGTGAAAATCCACTAATATATCCAATCAATACTACATTATTTATCAATCTGGCGAATTTGTTCCGAAACATTTTACATTGTAAAAAAAACAACGGTTATTACCCTCTTTTTACATTAACTTTACTACTCTAATTGGGTAAGTGTTAATTAAGTTAAACCTTCAAGAAAAAGATAGCAGGCAATTTGGGCAAAGTTACTATGTCTTTCTGAAGATGTGTACAAAAGTAGTAACAACCCGGAGGTATTTTAAAATACTGGAAATACAATAACACCGAAAACAGTCCACATTTTAGGACATTATCACAGAAAACTAAAGTAAACCTAACTAAAAGTTACAAACTCAATACGATAAACTGCAAAATGCAGTGTACGAAAATTTGGATTTCAGAATATTATCTAAAGCCAAAAAGTGATGGCAGAAACAGAAATCTAACTGAAGATGTTTCATTCGATATGTCAGAACTTTATCATCGTAAAGGTTAAGACCTTTATACATTTACAAACAGAAGTTGAGCAAATATAAACAGAAGGAACATGGAAGTAAGATCAAATCAACAATGTACTTGTGGATGATCTAAGCTCGATGGGCTGGGAAAGAATACTATTTAGAAGTGTCCATGTTGCCTTCCTCAATCTCTATGTCCTTAACAGCAGTAGTCAATGATGATGATGAATCAGACCTCCCATCCCTTTTCTCAAGATCCTCATCCTCACTGTTTGAGGCTTCTTCAAGAAAGGAGCCCTTTCGACGGAGTTCTTTGACTCTCCTATACTCGTCATAGTGTGCTCGCCTGTGCTCCTTGAAGCTCTTTCCCTTTTCTGATCCAGAATCTGTTACATCACAGAAAAATTATAAATAGGGTTTGCATTCAATATAAATCATGAACCAATTGCAACAAAACTACCAGTACACAATACACCTGAGAAAAGAAAGGAAATAAACCGGGGTGGGCCGGGAGGTTGCGTGTGTGTGTGGAGGAATCGATCGTTTAAAAGGCCTCAGTTGATCAATTAATGTATGGATAAGGGTAAAACTCAGAAGTCAATGACCACCTCTCCCTGCCTCTCATCCAATCCAACCCCCACTCATCAAATCAAAAGGAAAGGAAAAAAGAGAAGAAAATGGGTTTGTACACAGACAGATCAAATTAAACCTGCATCATCTTGGTCCATGACATCAGCTTCATCCTCAGATGATGTCCAGCCAGACCGTTGGGATTTATTCTTACTAGAAGAAGCCACCTCATTCAATGCACTGCGTATAGCTTCTGCATGTACTGCATCACCATTGCCTTCCTCAAAACTACCCCGTATAGGAGATAAAGATCCTACAACATCAACAAAGTCAGCAAAAGTGAGGACGACAAATAAACTTGCACAGATTTAAGCATTTTTTTTTTTTGATGAAGTAAAAAGATTTAAGCAATATTTTTATGATACGGAGATTTAAGCAATATTAGCTATCAGTTTATTGAGACATAAATATTTCTCTCCAAATACAGATGAAAAATGATTGTTCACCAAAAAGCAGGAGCACTAAAGTACATCATCTATTAGCCACATTTTTTTGTTTGATAAGATCATCTATTAGCCACATTACATGGAATCTTCATGCTTTCTTGCAAGCATGAAGGATCCTTCAAGATAAAAAACAACATAGCTGCATTGAATCCATACTCGTCAAATATTCTACCTGAGTTCATGCAGTGGACACAAGACTTGTAAGGAGGAGACTAGCCATACATAGGAGTGGCAAACGGGCGGGTCGGGTTGGATATGGTTCGGGTCGAAATGGGTAATGAAAAACCGGACAAATTATCCGACCCAACACATATTTAATACGAATAAAAAACGGGTTAACCGACGGATAATATGAGAACCATATTATCCATGACTTCTTGAATATGAACACTTTTGGGAAAATTCCTAGTCTTCCGAACTTGAGGAACCCTCAATTTGAAACTTTACAAATATAAAAGTTAAACTCATTAGTTATCCATTTTCTAAATGGATAATATGGTTCTTATCCATATTTGACCCGTTATTAAAAAGTTCATTATCCAACCCATTTTTTAGTGGATAATATGGGTGGTTAAGTGTGTTCTTTTAACCATTTTGTCACCCCTCACACAGAATACATACTAATGTAAAATCTGTTAGAAATTGGGAAGGAGAACGCTTATTTTTTGCAGGATTTTAATGCTTTTTATAAGTTTGTAGGTTAAAATATTGATTTTTTAATAGTTTGGGCAGGGTGAGCAAAGGGCTGCCTAAATCTTCCCCAAGGAACATACATGTCGGAATTTACTCCCACTAGGCCCATATCCTGGAATCCTGAAACCTTACACCATGAACATGGCGAGACCAAATCTAACATCTTATGAGTAGGACGAAAGTCTCATTCCAAATACAACCGTGCACAGCAAGACCAAAAATCCTAAAGCTTTCAAATTGCATACATAGTTACATACTATGTAATTAAGCCTCAATACCAAACAAGTTGGGCTGGATATATACAAACAGATTCATTTACCCACGTTTTTGCATAAGAAATTTAGTGGGCGTTTGGACATAAGAATTGTAAAATTCCAAAATAGGGGGAAATAAAAATTTCAAGTGAAAATGGTATTTGAAATTTAGATTTGTTTTTGGACATGAATATAATTTTGGGTTGTTTTTGAAGTTTTGTGAGTGATTTGAGTGAAAATTTTGAAAAACAGCTTTTTGGAGTTTTTCAAATTTTCGAAAATTTCCAAAATGCATCTTCAAGTGAAAATTAGAAATTTTATGAACAAACGTTGATTTCGAAAAATAATAATTTTTTTTTGGAAAAAAGGAAAAAATTTCTTATGTCCAAACGGGCTCTTAATTTCATATTCTTTTCAAATAAATAGACCAATTAATCTTGCTTGTATAAAAAAGCAAAAAAAACTATCAGCACAGTAAACTCAATTACATAGAGTAACTACATCATGTTTTACCTAGCCATTGCATATGAGACCCTTGCAAATGCAAAAGAATGGATTGGAAAGAATCAAAGAGAAAATAAAATTACGAAATGTCCCTAATAGTGTCAATTAATTCTCTTAATGGCAGGTAAGAAACTGTAGCAAACTAACGAGGATTAGGCTCTAATAAAGGAAAAAATACCAGAATATGTATGTGTTCGATGAAGTGGTGGAAATCTCTTATGATCAAATTTTAATGAAATTTTTGTACTTTTTGGAAATCCCGGTTTTCCCATACATAATGATGTAACAAACATCACGCCATTATTAGAAGCAGATCCTGAAGCTCCAAGTACCAAAACATAATGGTATTAGCTCTAATATTCGACCACCAACACATTATAGGAGGTTTAGCACCACATGAGAAACTTCAATGGTGTAGGGATACTGAGAAGACTACACATCAACTTTGGGATTTGGAATTTGTAAAAAATATACAATCAAACTGACCTAAATATCCACAAAAAGCAAATTAAACAACAGAGATACAAGATGCATCAGTAGCATGAATAAAATTCACTCAAAGAGTATAAGCACCACAGTATAAACTACTGCCAAATGATCCAAATAAGTTCAAATCTTAAAATATTTCCTCCCAAACCATCACTCTCATGGAAGCTAATCAAAAGGGGGAAAAAGAAGATCAGTGAGTGCATAAATCATCTGGGAAAAGATAGAAAAAGAAGACTACCAATTGCATAAAACCAGGTCAATACACTAAGGGGTCGTTTGGTAATCAAAAGGGGGAAAAAGAAGATCAGTGAGTGCATAAATCATCTGGGAAAAGATAGAAAAAGAAGACTACCAATTGCATAAAACCAGGTCAATACACTAAGGGGTCGTTTGGTAATCAAAAGGGGGAAAAAGAAGATCAGTGAGTGCATAAATCATCTGGGAAAAGATAGAAAAAGAAGACTACCAATTGCATAAAACCAGGTCAATACACTAAGGGGTCGTTTGGTAGGATGCATTAGGTAAAATAATACATGCATTAGCTTTGTGTATTAGTAATATTTTGTTTGGTACACTTTTTGAACATATGCATTAGTTATACACCCTATTTGGTAGTATCCTGTGCATAACTAATGCATAAGAAAGCATGGTATTAACAATGCAATGGGTTTTAATGCATGCATTAACTTAGTTAAAGGCAAAATTGTCAAACAAAATTTATGCTTGATTAAAATATGCTATTATATTAATGCAAGTTTGAAATAATCCAAGAAAGTGAGAAATAAAATTATATCCCTAGTAAATAAATAAATACTTAGCCTATTTTCTTTTTTTATAAATAAATATTAAGTTCTATACTACAATATAGGTAGACAAATCAAATATCTTTTAAAACCTTTTTCATATAAAAACATTCATCAACATATGTTTCTTTTAAAAAGATAAAGTGATGGACTGGTCATGAGGGTATTTTTGTAAACAAGCAATTCTTTTAGAAATTGTGCAATGCTTTAATACATCAAACCAAACAATGGATAAGAAATATGTAAGCATAACTAATGCAAGCATAACTAATACCAACATTACTAATACACCTTATTCGGCATTATTCTTATACAATCTACCAAACGACCCCTATTCAGCATTACTAATTCACCCTACATTCTACATTACTATTCAACATTACACTCTATATTACTAAAAAATACACCCTATTCAGCATTACTAATTCTTACTAATCGTTTTTCATCTATCTATAAACCTATCAAGCATCAAAAGTTTTTCAAAAAGACTGATTGGCATGTGAAAAGCAGGAAGACAACACGCCACCACATTATTTGATCTATCTATGAAACTTGCATGACACAGAAAATTGACAAGTGAGATAAACGGGCACGAAGGAAAAGAAGAATTCATTTCACGAACATACCATCAACATCGATCATGCGGTGATATGGTGTCTTTGGTTCAGTTATTTTCTGCCTCACTGGTTTATTTGCCTCAATTTCTCCCAAATTTGCCTCATCCCACTTTACATGTGCTCCCCTTCTACACCACGACAAAATGTTCAAAGCAATTAAATTTCCGTTACTAACAATACTAATGCAAGCAAACAAATAAGCTCAGTTTTTTCAAAAAGAACAGGTCAAACAACTACTAAAATCATGATGCAAACGCAACATTTAGTGTCACCCCATACCCCAAAAATAAATGTGCTTGCAATAATTCTCTCAATGTATTAAACACGCTAGGGAAGATACAGGAACAAGCATGAACACATAGGCTTTGGGGCTAAAGAGCACATTCAGTCTACTGCAGGCTACTTATAGGAAAGTAATATCTGTACAGTATTTCTTTTCTCCATCTCGTCTACATGACATTCATTAGCACCAGAATTGAAATTTTAAGTGAATGCAAGATGTATCAGAAAAAGAATTTACATAACAAGAAAAGACATTACTTCATTTTCCCAAGGTGACCCAATCCTTCAAGGAGTTGCAGTCAAATTGATTACCCTGAACCAACAAAAGAGAAAAGCATTCGTCAAGCATTTGAATTAAAAAAAAGGTACTCATATTGGTTCAAAAATGACCTTTGAGAATGTTCTACTTTTTTACCAACATTTACTATCCATTTTGACTCCCCCTCCCCCTCCCCCTCGAAAAATTGCTCCAGATTTTTTATAACCGAAAAATGTCCGAGGACCAGTGCGCCCAGATCGAAATTCGATGGATAATGAGCCCGCCCCTCTATCCTTCTCCAAGTAAATACCAAGCTTTTCTATAGCAGGGTTCAAACATGTAACATGCGCCAAACCCACACAGCACGTGTTGTGCTCTTACCAATAGACTAAAGCCCCGTGGCACAAATTGCTAGTTGTTTCATAGATAACAGATAGTAGTTTTTACTATGTATTTTTCATTTGGAAGGTGTAGGGATGCCAAGCACCATTATATTATATACAAACATGCTAAGATATGAGATAATCATAAACACAAATTAATCATTCACTTGTTTGATTAATTAGGACACTTTCAGTAAATGATTTAAGATATATGAGTCTAACCTAAGAACAGGAAATTATCTTGACATATTTTCTCTTAGCCTTTTTTCCGAAAATATTTCAGAAAAAAATGATCATTAATCCTAGAAGGCAAAATAAACATCATAATTTTTGGTAAAAACGCAGATTAACTCATAAATGAAAAAAAAAAGATCGCAGACAAGGATTTTCTTCATGAAGTAGAACAGATACAACAAATTGCAACCAAATTTACACTTCTGGATTAGGTTTTCTTTTTCCTACGAAAGAATGCATACGAGAGATTCTGGAGGAAGAGGAAAGGAGAGAGAAACATACAGTTCGATGTCGTCGGAGAAAGAGACGGGAAGAAGCCTGCCGCAGAAAGATGGCTCAGGCAAAGTGGTTTAATGGACTTGAACGAACAAATAAAAATAAATCTGCTTAAGATATTTGCAAAAGAAAGAAAGAATAAACAAGGCGAGCCGATGGATAAATTAAGTTTGGACTTATCTTATAGCGACGGACACGTAAAATGATTTTTTAGACAATCAATTTCAATTCAACATGCTTAAGAAAGTTAATTACTACTCCATGTCTTATGAGTAATTAAATTACCTTTTTTGACAAAACTACGGGTAATTACTTCTAATTATTATTAAAACGACTTGATAGCGTAACTAGAAGTAAACTTAGAGACTACATAAAAATTGGAAAACTACCATATTTTCCTGTGACCTTCACTTGCCGTTTGGTGCTTTTATTATGTTGAAGTATGGAGTTAGTAGTAATAATTATTGTTAGAGGCTACATAAGAATTGGAAAATTGAAAATTCCTCACCTTTACCTGTGACCATCACTTAGCGTTTGGTACTAGTATTACTGTGTTGAAGTATGGAGTTAGTAATAATTTTCACATGGTTTTCAAAGATAAAGTTAATTAATAGACTTAAAATTAATTAATTTCCATTTTTGTAACCGAAGTTATATTAAACAATTTGGACAGAGGAACTCTTCATCAATTTTAGCTCATACAATACAAGCTGTAAAAATAGTGAAGAAACTCGATCAAGTAATAAAGTTAAACTATATATGTGAATAGCTTGATTCATTTACTACTTAACTAGTACTTAGTTCAGTTGCCATTCTCCAACTAAAGTTGCCTTTTCGGTACAGTTCTTGATATGAAGTTATTTGGATATATCAAAGCACATGCATCCTTGACCAAAAATTTTGAGGCACAAGGATATGGATTCCCTTCAGAAAATACTTAAACAGTTGTTTTAGCTTTTAGTGAAAATGGGCGAAAACAGCTGCTACTCGAACTAGCGACAAGTGTTCCCAATCAAGAAAAATACACAGGAAACAGGCACTCCGGCCGTGAATAATTTTTTTACATAGTTTTTACTGCAGCTCTAGCTGCCTTAAAATTTTGAGTTCACAGACTTATGCACTGTGTTACAAATTACAACACTACTACAAGCTAGGTTGAACTTCCTAAAGTTACAATCTATAATAGTCTATTTCAGCAAAGTGGTGAAGGCCGACGAGGACCAAATTTTGTAAACCAACAATTTTGATATGCGTTGGGGGCTGCTACTGCAGGCTGTTGCTTGTACAAAGCCTTTTCAGGTGCCCCCATATGTGAAAGATTGGCCTTGCCAAACTCTTCAAATCTAATGTTTGGTAATACTAAGCCATTATTTCCTTGGAACTGTGATGAAGTGAATTGCTGCTGTACTATCTTCTGAGAGCATAATTCGTCCCCTATTGGTATTTCACCAGTAAGAGTCTTGACCGCGAACATGAAGCAAGGATCTGCCCATATTTCATCAGAAGGTAAACCCACAGTGCAAGGAGTATTAACAGAAGACATGCTCGGACTAGAACCTGGGATCTTATCCACTTTCTTTTCATTTATGACCGGAATTGTGCCAGTTAGAGTTTTTATTGCAAATTCTATGCATGGATCCGTCCAAATGTCACTTAAAGATGACTCGAGAGCTGTTTCACCTTTCTTATCACCTTTGCAGCTACCAAGGTTAGTTTTTGCAGGTTCGGCTGGAGAAGGTAGTTCTCGCTCCTTTAGTGGTAAAGTAACAATGTCTTGTTGCCCTTTGCTGGTCACACTCCCAATTTCTATCTTCTTATTGATGGTAATACCGGTTAATGCCGTTGCAACATGCTTACTGGTATCAATAAAATTCACAGGGTTATCAGTGATGGCAGCTTGTGTCTCCTCCTCCTGTCTTACTGTAGCTAGATGGGCTTGATTATTTGTTCGGAGCTGAAGAGATGTATCAGCTTTAATACCAGCAAGCCGTTTTGATTTTCTGCGAGGCAAGTTCATACCCTTTTTTCGTTTACGCGGGATTGTTTTCTGGTCATGCTTTTCCACAACATCTCGTGATGGCTTTTCTTGATTTTCTCCACTTACAGGATTTGAAACAAATTTACCATCATTCTCCTTTTCTTGTTCTTGTCCACTTACGGGATCTGAAACAACTTTACCATCATCCTCCTCATCCGCGTTCTCTGGTACACCACCTCCTAAACCTGAAATATTTCTCATTTCCAAATTAAATACATTCATTTTGATAAACTACTAAAAAACACGTGACATGCCTAAACGAAGTTTTCTTTTTTCTTTAAAAGAGTGCCTGTATTTGAATTTTGTGACATGAAATGAAATCTTTTGAAGATTCTAAAGATTTGCAGTATCAAAAGAAGTTCTCATATTAAAAGCTTTTCCCCCAAGAATTACAGCAGTAAACTAGTTCTTGAATTCATGAGGAAATTTGTAAGAGAGGAATGGAAGGAAACTTGCAATAAATAGATGACATAAGGGCATAAATAAAGCATTAAATACTTCATATCAAACTGAAACACTAGAACTTTCCAATAGTGAGTAATACCTTCAAAGGATGATATACTGCCTACTACACAACTGGAATGCCCCATATGTTCAGCACCCAACTTCAGCTTCTGATTCGAATTAACTTCCTTGCCAGATGCATCGCTGTCTAGCGATGTATGCTTGTCAGCTTCAGCAGTCAACTAAATACCAGAAACAAACAAAAAGATTAGATCGTGAAGAATTACCATAGAGAATTTGAAGCATTGCTAGTGGTTTTAATATCTTGCTCACGAGTTTTATGTGTGAGGAGGGTGTCCTGTTTGCAGTGGTAATCAACAGTTTCAAATGATTATAATAAGATAGGGAGGTTGTGAAGTTTTTTTATTTGATGAAGAATGCACTGTATTAAGAGTCTGACCTCCTCTGCTATTTTTACAAAGAAAATGGAGACCAGAACATGCTACAGATCTGAAATCACCAACAAACGTTTATCATGACAAAAAGACAACGGAAAGAATGATCTTTTTTAAGAGTTTTCTCCTCTCAAAGTTAGATCAGATAATATCCAGAACCTCACAAAGTTTCTTAGAGTGAGGTGTAATCAGTTTGTTTACGGATGTCTAAATAAAGCTTGTAGGATATGAACTGGACTCTTTTCTAAGGGCATGTCGGTGAAAAAATAGAAGTATCACCACTTCCACAAACATAGATATCAAGATCTGCAACTTACTACTTGTCTAAATTCCAGTAATTTGAGGTGTAATGTCATCATACAATTTAATTTTCTTTGACACCACATTTCTTCAGATAATTACTATTTACCTCCATAAACCATTGTAAACAGGAGGTCTTGTATTATAACTAGCTTATGAAAACCTATGATCTTTTAACTACCATAAAGGATAATACCAGTAAATGAAAACTAACATGCGAAAAACATTCTCACTTACAGTTGAAAAAGGTTCTCCCAGTTCTGAAGTGCCAGGACACTGATCCCTGGACTTGGATTCAAATCTTCCTGACTCTCTAGTTTCAAGGAACCGAGAAACTTCCTTCATAGAGCGGAAAGTGTGTCCACTGACAGGGTCAGTATAATACTGCAAAGGTAATTCACTAATTACATTACTACATACTCCAAGTAGAATGCAATTGGAATCGATACGCGAAGCAGAATATTTGAATTTAAAATAGAGGTTAAGGATTTGCATTTCCAGTAATTGCTGAGCTGGTAGATATTGAAATATGAAAATAAAAAGGGAGTTAGTACCGGATCTTTCTTGATTTTGTGCCCCTTTCTCCTGACCCTCACTTCCTTAATCCATCCTGGTGGTAACCCTTCTGATGTAGCCTTCTCAGTTACAACCTATATCATTGAAAAAGAAAAAAAAACTGTAAGGGGCAAAACCAAAGGAGAGAACTTCATATAAAGGAGGTTACCCCGCAAGAAAGGGAAAAGAAGGTTGCACTATCATGGTAGAAAATATATATTAACCAACGAGACCTTTCCAGTGTCTTTCTTCTCTATCTCCTTCGTACTAGAACTCTTAAAACAGTTACTGCCAACACTGCTGAGATAGTGAAGAACGTCCGCCTTAGAGCAGAATTTGAGTCCTTTTGAGGGATCGCTATACCACTGCAATAAACACAATAGATACACTCAGATATACAGAATGCATGTTTACTGGTTAAGAATCAGCAAAAAGGAGAGGAATAACAATATTATTGTTTTCACTTTTCCATTCGTAAATGTGCATGGATTCAAGGTGGGAGAGAAAAGAAACTTTATGACTCAAAATTTCAGGAACTGCCATTAGCAATTTATACATCCCACTTCGTCAAGTTAGAACCAATGAAGCCCTCACAGGACTTTCAAGAGGTAAATGTGTGATACTTTATACTGAGTGTCGACATGAGTGGGTAGCTCTAGTCGAAAGCACCCTCCACTTCCAACTAAGAGGTTGTGAGTTCGAGTCACCCCAAGAGCAAGGTGGGGAGTTCTTGGAGGGAGGGAGCCGAGGGTCTATCGGAAACAGCATCTCTACCCCAGGGTAGGGGTAAGGTCTGCGTACACACTACCCTCCCCAGACCCCACTAGTGGGATTATACTGGGTTGTTGTTGTTGTTTATACTGAGTGTTAGGAAGTAGATATAGCACAGCAAGGAAAACTGCAATTGGTGGCGTGAGAACTAGGTTGGCATGGATATGAGGGGTAGGACTGTTATAGAACTACATAACTTCTTAAAGAAGAAACATAATCCATCCATTACATTCACTTTTTTCTGGAAAAGAGAATTTATAATGGCATCTCATGCCAGCAAATATTCCAGACTTAGTATTAGCTATTAAAAACAAAAAATGCATTATGTAGTTTGTCCATTTTGGCAAAGGTAAAATGGTCCTAATAAGGCTAAGATGAAGTGGTTAGAGTGATATGAGATCGGGAAATGTATTTGAAGGTGTAGAATCTTTCAAAATTGCTCTATAGTTTGGGTTGTAAGATAGCAGATTTTGCAACTGACCTGACTCTCTGCCACACACTATTAAAGAATCTAGAATTTTCTCCTCATTAAACAAAATCGAATGCAGATTCACTTACACCTCCCTACTTCTAAAACACCAAAAGCACAATAAGCAGCCTATCATCTAAGAAGAAAATAGCAGGTCACCCAAATCAAACGTCCCAAAATATGCATCAATGTAAGAGACAAAAGCTTAGATTCACAGTAATATCAGTGTAGTGGATGGTTTAAGAAAATCAAAGGATTAGGGGATTAAGATGCTAGGAGACTCGTTTTCGGAAAAAAGAATATAAAAACTATAGCTTGCTACAATTTGAATAGCAGCAGTGTATCTGATCTAGTTGCCGAGTAATGTTCCAATATATGATCAATTTTAGGGGCTGAAATAATTTTGAAAGATTCATAGACAGGGAATAAGGAAAACAAGAATAAAAGAAAAAAACAAAGGCATCAAACGTGCGAACCATTAGCATCACACCAAGGACAAGACACGATGCTTCTTAACAAAAAGCTAAGATCATTCAATCCATTACATAATCTAACCAAGGGAATTTAATCCTTGATATAGAGGAGACAATAGCTGGGGACCAAATCAAAATGGCTCCTCCTTAAACTTGACATGCAATGGCTGACATATCACACTACCATGACTCCATAAGACCACCCCAGCAATCGCTCCCCACAAAAATAAAAATTGATTTAAAGAAAGTCTTGACAGAGACAATTTGGTATATGATGTGTCGCTGCCCAGAAGTGAAAAATGATGCATAAGAGGCTTATATACCGAAGTTGAACCAATCACTAGAACTAGGCCATTCATATATCTGTACTGTCCAAGGCTTTACAAGGTTCAACAAATGCTTTGCCTTTTTACACGCTGGCATACTTGTAACAGTCCTTATTTGGCATGCAAGCAAAATTTGAATGCTTTACATACTTCAGCCATAAGCAAACTAGCACCTCTTCAGTTAAACCTTGTTAAAGCAAGAAGATTAACTCGCACAAATTGTCCTGTTATTTTTCTTTCTTTCTTTTTTACTGGTTTTAGTGTCCCAATCAGCTTGCATGTAACAAAGTTCAATTATTTTGCCTATTTTGTCTATAAAGATAAAGCATGCATCAATCTTGCCAAGTCATGCAACAAGGAGAAGACACAAAGTAATAGCCCTTTGTTACTGAAATAGTTAGGTGAAGCAAAGTTGTGGTTTTGTGCCCAAAACAATACAGATTAGGCCAAGAACAACAGAAATTACAGTTGAAGCAGGAAGATCAGAAATCAAAAAAGAATCAAACAAAGAATCAATTTTTATTAGCCAAAAGCAAAATAAACAAGAATTTTTTTCAAAAAAACAAAAAACAAAATGGAAGATTAAGCAAGAGCAATGAGCAAGAAAGCACCTTCTCTTTCTTTCCTTTTCTGAATTCCACCTTCCATCCAGCAGGAAGCCAATCAGGCAAAGACCTTTTCTTTCCCATCTCACAATCCCACCTAAATTAACCACTTACCCAACTAATTTTAATTCAATCTCCAAGTAGAACCCCAACAACAAAAGAAAACAAAACAAAACAAAATAAAGATGCCTTCTTTTTTACTTGTTATGAAAAGTCAAGAACCCTCCAACCCCTTTTGGAAAGTGTGAATATGGCTAGAGTGAAGGCTGCAGGACTCCACTATGTGTCATGTCTACTCTTTCTTTGACTCAAACAGAGTATAAAGTGATGAGTAGAGGAAATGGGGACATAATGGGGGAGGGAGGTGGGGTTGGGGTTAGGGGATGGAGAATCGGACAAATAGCATTGCACAACCACGTGTTTGCCAAACTTTGTTCGGTTTCAAAACTTGCAATTCGAGGCAAACCAAACGTTCTTTACGATGATTCTTTAATCCTATCTTTCTACTCCTTTTTCTTTGTTTTGGTTTTACTGCTAATAGTCTGTTCTCTCCTCTCTTTAATTTTTTTGACACCTCAAATGTGCAAGTGGCAGTCGGACAATGAAAAAAAAAACTCAAAAGTTACTGGTAGGTGTAATTTCCATGTTCTACATTTTATCTTTTTTAGTTTTCTATTATTTGGCCTTTTCTTGCTCCATTAACGCGGCTGTCGGAGTCAGCGGATGGTGGATGGAAATTTCAGTCTTCAGACTCGTGATCCTAATTGGATGTGTGGCTTTAGGGTGTATTTAGTATTTAATTCAAAAATAGAAAAAAGACCACAAAGAAAAAAGGGGAAAAAACATAACTAGGCAACATTTAAATAAATTTTACTAAAACATAGCAACATAACTTAATTATCATTTATGGCATTAAAATATTTATATATCATAGCAGCTTAACTCTCTCGTGGGCGAGATTCATGCTTATTTGATACCTAATTGTATGCATTTTCGGTCTTCATTACTTTGTTATATATTTTCTTTTATGAATTAATATCTTGCCTTTTATTATAGTACTCGTAGCATTACCAGGACATTAGTTAAATAGTGAAAAATAGATATTTTAAGCCCACTTTTAAGATATGTATAACTAAATGAAAAAGATATTTGATAGGTATAATAATGATTTATTTGTAGTATTTTTTCAACTGAAACTATCAATGTTTTTCAAGAATTTAAATATATGCCATATATATATTTTATGTATGTATTTTGAATATGTAACTGTGTATTAATGACGGTATCATTCAAATACCAATAAATATTTCAAATATGAATATAATTTGTATTTTTAATTATTAACCATATAATATAAATTGGAGCTCTTGTATATCATATAATTGTAGTATAATAATGGTATTTTAATATTTCATATGTATTATTATGTAAGATATTTGCAAATTAGATGTATGGTATGATTGTGATATAATGATGATGTATGGTATTATGCTAGTATAATAATGTTATTGATGTTTCATGCCTTTTAGTTGTGTTTTTTGTGTAACTTAATTTTCAATATTATACATGGGATAGTAATTATTATAATTGTAGTATCATGGATGATTCATATGCGATACAAATTAATTGAGTGAATCATCTCTTATTGTGGGTATATACGATCCACGGAATGACTACTCTGAAGGAGTCTATCTCCACCTAAAAGAGATAAAAATTGCTTTTCTATTGCCATGTTTAGCTGAAATGCATGGAGTTATTCAAAAAGAAAAGGTCAAGAAAGAGTGATTAGTGCATTCATTAAATGTTAAGCATACATTTTGTAATATGCTAATATGTAAAAAAAAAAAAAAAAAAAAT